TTCCCCGTTCCGCAGAAAAGGAAAAAACATCAATAATTTTTACGTCCAAATCTGGACGACTAAGAGCTGAGATTAAGGGATTAAGAGAGATTCAAATAATTTGATTCACCTTAATCCGTAAAAATAATTTAGTCCGTAAGAAAACGGAGCCCAATCCCATGTATCCCTCCCCGCAACACCACAAAGTACCTTATTCCTCCTTACTCCACTGAGCGGGGATATAATGCCTTAATTATAATGCCTTAATCATTTCCTTTTCTGCGCCGCAGGCGAAAATTTTGAGAAATTTGGATGTCAAGAAGCAAAATTTCTTCCCTTTTCTGCGCCGCAGGCGAAAATTTTGAGAATTTTAAATGCCAAGAAGCCAAATTTCTTCCCTTTTCTGCGCCGCAGGCGAAATTTTGGAAATTTTGGAAGGCCAATAAGCCAGATTTCTCCCATTTTCTGCGCCGCAGGCGAAAATTTTTTTTACTTTCAAGCCTCCCCTCTTCTGTTAACTTTATTTCACAGACTTGTAGTCAATTTATAAAGTCGGGATTTGCATCGGGATCTGATGCACATCCCGATCCCGATCCCGGATCCCGGCTCGGGATTGAGATTGGCCGGGATCGGGATCGGGATATTCATTTCGGGACCGGGATCAGAAAAATCGGGATCGGGATTCAAAAAACCCGGGATAATCCCGCCCGATCCCGACCGGGATCCCGATCCCGGCCAACTCTAGTCTTAACCAGGGTTTTCTTCATTTTGTGGTTTTTTGATAGGTTTGATAGGTCCCATTTTATTCACGTTATTTTCAACTAAGTTGAGGTGAAAAATAAAAAAAATTCAACTAATTTTTTACCAAAAGGCATTACTCTACTACATATTTAGTTAAAATGGTTTTGCATAAAATTTTACCAATTTCTTTAATTTTGCTCTTTGAGATTTTATTAACTAAGGTTTTCGAGGCAAAATGTTTTGCCGAGCGGAGAAAGCCGGGCATGTCAAGCGGAATGACGGCCGCCGCTTCGTTACGTTCGCAAAGCACGGCCATCGTTTTGTGCGCTCCTTTTCTACGCCTTTTTCTGCGCCACATTTTGAAAATAAGGAGGTCCTTCAATTAGATTTGCTTCATTTTTTGCGCCGCAGGCAAAAATTTTTAAAAATTTGGAAAAATCTCTAGTCGGAAATATGCTTTAAAGATTCTCGGAAATCGGAAATTTTACCAAAATTTTTGAAATCTGAAGGAAAAAAACGTCGAAAATCGGAATTCCACTGGTCTATTGGTAGTCTAGGGTTAGTGTTATTCTAGTCGCAGCCAACGCATAGTCTCGCTTATTTTATTGTATTTTTGCTTTGTGATAAAACCTTGTTTGTTAGTCAAGTCTCTTCTGTTAGTATCGGAAACACCGTAAGTCGACTCTTGTTAAAACTGAAAATGATAAAGCTCTACAGCTCTTGATAAAACTGAAAGGATTTTGACTTTAAAAAAATAAAAATGACTAAAACATAGCAAAAAGGTTTAGCTATTTTAGAAAGTATATTTAGTCTCAAGTATTTTTGATCAAAACACGAATAAGAATTTAGCCTTTAATCTTTTCCAAAAAAAAACAATTTTTTGGTAATTCACGTGAAATTTTGCAGTTTTATTTAATTTATTGATAAATACAAAATTAAATTATTTAGAATTTTTTATTTGCAATTTTTAAATTTTTTTATAGTATTCGAGGGGTTAAACCAAATTTAGAATAGAGTAAGAATAAATTTAGCAAATATAAAGAAAAATAAAATTTCACAGAAAGATAATTTACTGACAGAATAATAATTAAATAAAAATTTTTTACTTATAAAATTCCCGGCTAGTGTCCAGATTACGCGTTCAATCTCACCTTTAGTCGTCCCAACAACCGTTTTGCATTCAGTGAAAATTTAAGCTTTTATGTTTGTGATCTATGGCGACGTACGTACAAATTCGGGTACTCATTTTGTGCTAATCTAATCATTGAACGTGTAAAAGTTGATTGGACATAGCCACATTCCCATCCATTTTTCTCATATTTTAAACAAAATATAGCTACAAATAGACAAAAATTCCCTTAAAAATGGTCAAAATTTCCTAAAAAATTCTCCTAACATGCAAAAAATATTAAATTTGTTTATGTTCTCCGTCTAATATTGTGACTTTCATAGAATATAGAGGTATAATGAATTGGGTATGTGATCGGGCTAATTGGGTATGTGATCGGGCTACCTACGCCTTAATGAGCTCTTCAGCAAATCCCAATATAGTAAAATCAAAATAGCAACATAAAAGGAACCATTAATTTTAAAATTTTCACTAAAAATATTGCAAAAACTATCTAATAAGAACTCAATATTAAAAATAATTTAAGGAATGGATGGACCTTTAAACAACTAAGAGGTTCCTGATAATCCAACAAATTATCCTCTGGCTGATTAATGCTAGGATGCTCCATTCTTATTGTTTGGCTGTTCCGCCCGATATCTCTATTATTCTCAGGCGAATTAAGGTGTTGGAGGCATTTCTGCAAAAAGTCTATATAGCGAATTGTCCCGTTTACTTTATAAAATAATCCAAGCTTTAAAATAAAAAGCTAATTTTTTTAAGGCTGAATAAACAATTAAAAATATTAAATGAATTTTTTGGGTAATTTTGCAATTTTTTATTAATAAAATTTGGCCAAATAAATGCCAGCAGAATTTACCAATAAAATAAATTAATTGTCAATAAAAATAAATAATTCTTTAAATAAATAAATTTACAAAAAATGACTAAAATTAATTCCATTATTTTCTTAATTTTTTTAATAATTAATTTTATGAATTATTATATTATGGCTGACAAACGAGCAACCAATCCAGGACATTCACCTGGAGTTGGAAATCGTTAAATCGGTGGAAATTGTAATTGAATTTAATTTTTTATTAACTTAATATGAATATACAGTGAATCTTGTCGATATAAAAAATAGTTTTTTGTTTCGGCAATAGGGAATTCTCAACCAAAAAATAGTCGGAAACTTCGATATATTCAGTTATTTTAAAAAGTGCAATATTTGTCGGAGATCCTTTGCTCTACAGAAAAATTTTGAGGTTACATTGTAGTTAGTCTAAGTCTATTCCTTGTCTTTCCTGGTCTGTTATACTTCAACGTCAATTTTTTTATTCTAGGTACTAACAGAGCAGGGGTGTGCCAGGGTCGCTTTTCGCATTTCACTTTTTAAATTCCGTTTCGGCACACCCTTGTAACAGAGGTCAAGTTTCTCTAGGCAGCGACCTCATATACTCTTACGGAATCTTTTGTTAGTACATAGAATTTAACTAATTGAAATTGAAGTATACCCAACAAACCATCTAATTATTCCCTAAAAATTATCTATAATTTTAAGCAAAAAATAAAAAATTTGGCAGAATATGGGGATTTGGAATTTTGGTTAAATATCTTCAACTTTTCTTTAAAAACAAAACAAAATTGGGATTTTCTTCTTTAAATCATGGAAATTTATTTGGAAAAAATTTTTTCGATTTTTTTATTATTTAAATTGTTAAATTTGGGAGAATAAATTGATATGGGAAATTTTTTAAAATATTTTTAAAATGCTCTATTCAGGGCTTTTCCTCATTTTGTGGTTTTCTGATAGGTTGATGAGGATAATTTTTAAAAATGCTGATTTGTGGATTTTTGTAGACTTTTGAAGATTATGAGGATTCTTTATATTTTCAAGTAGTTTTTAGTATTTCACGGTTAGGTCTTCGAATTTTTTCCCAACCGAATTAATCCAGAAAAATCCGGCGGGTCCGGCATAAACGAGAGAAACAAACTATGGGCCGCCCAAAATGCTTGAAATTTTCATCAGAAAGCAAAAAATAAAAATAGTCAAAAGTCATTGGAAAAAGTCATTCATTTTTCAGTTAATTGTTGGCATTTTTATGATATGATCATTAGTTCTAATAAAAAATTTCTCAATTATATTAATGGAGACATAAAATACATATAACGCATATAGTGATTTGTTTTTTCCAGTTTTCTTCCTTTTTATCTTTTTAACTATTATAGTTATAAAATCTCCATCATTTGAGGCTACTCGACAAAAATGCCATAAATGTAGCGTTAAATGTAAAAAGTCAAATGCCTGATAGTTATGTGATAAAAAATAGAAAAATAACCTAAAAAAATAAATTTTGTTCACCCAACAATTTAAAGTTTTTTTCTTCAAAAATATATCAAAAATGTCATTTACAATAAATGATAACAAAAATAATATTTCTAATTTTGAAAAGAAACAGCTGTCAATTATTTGCAAGCTTATCAGAGAGAAAATAAAATTTATTATTAATTTTTTCAAAAAAGTCTTTGCCTTAAAAATACGTTTGGCGCCATTTCTAAATTTACAAGGAAGGAGATTGACATTATCAAGAAATTTTATTTGAGAAAAATGGGGCAAAGTTCGAAAAAAAATTTTTTTACAAAATTATGGGGAGAGAAAAGTTTACTTGTTCCAGCATATATAAAAGTCAATGCTTTCTTCCAATTCCTCACTTCTTTTTAATTTTCAAATCCTCCTTTCTTCACTATAAAAGCTTCAAAGGCTTCAAACACAAACTAAAACAAGCCACAAATCATGAAGGCACTCGTCTTCACATTAACTCTTCTCAGCCTTTCTGGCTCTTCTTCGATACCACTCGCCGACCGATCCTCCAATGAATACTACTCGATGACTAAAAGTGCCCCGTTTAAAAATTTCTTCTATCGAGAGTACAATACAGCAGCTGAACAAATCAAAACGCCAAACTTCCAGGAAAACAGCGAATATGTTTATAGCTACAATGCTCAAGTAGAGAATGGAATGTTGAGTTCAGTCGATTCATCCGGAACAAAAGAGGAGAGTCAGCAACAAGCAATTACTCGAATCCAAGCACAAATTCGAATGTATTTTTCAAGCGAAAGGCGTGGACAGCTTTGTATGACTCAATTAAAGTTTGGCCAATTTAACGATATGAGGCAAATGAAGGAAAAACAATGTTATGACCCAATGGGAATGTTTGAACCTGTTAGTTTAGGAATTGAAAAATTTGAAAAATCTTTACAATTTTCAGTTACAAATTCCCCAAGAGACTCGTCAGAAACTCGAACTTTGCTGTCAGTTCGACTACGTCGACGGAATGGTTACTCGAATCCAATTCGACAAAGAAGACGTCTCTTGGTCTAAAAACATTAAAAGAGGAGTGCTAAACATGCTCCAAATGAATTTACGGCATAATGAAGAGGGGCAGAATGTTATGGGGGAAAATAAAAATCTGGATAGATTAGCTCAGAGCTTTACCGTTCCTGAAACAACCGTTGAAGGGGAATGCCAAACTATCTATACAATTAATAAAGAATCAAAGCAATGTCAAGAGAGTCAACAACCCTGCTCTTTCAACGTTACAAAGTCGATAAATTTCAAAAAATGTTCAAAAATTGTTGATTCAACTAACGGATTCCAAACAGAACAACCTCAGCTTAAGTGCAGTCAATGCCCTATGAATGAGGATGTAAAAGTAAATGAGGAGCATGAGGGAACAGCGGAGAATCAATGCGCAGATTGCGACCCTAGAGAGATGACTGAGCAGATGGTGAGCGAGAAACTCGTTTTAGGATATTCCTTAGGGTAGGCTTTGGATAGCTCTCTTGCTATCTTTGGATAGCTCTTAAATCTGATGTATCGCTTAGACGTCAATCCCGCCCTGTGGCTAATCAAATTTTAAAAGTCTTAAATGAATGATTACCTAATTTTGGGGACATCTAAGTTTAGTACTTAAAAATATCTTGAATTCCAATTAAAACATTCCTCTTTTAAACAGTTGGATCGTCAAACAGTCATCCGCGCAGTGCTAAAATGTGGAACAGAACAAAAACAAAATACTTGCCCAAATTGTTGCCAATTAGATAATTCAGAAATGACTTCAAACTATATTTATAAAAATACAAAAATTGAGAGTGAAGGACTTTATGGCTCTGCATTGAAGACAAAGACATGCGCAAAACTTGTTTTAGAAACAGTACAAAATATAGAAAAACCAGCCCCTCTCGCTGCTACAGCAGAATCAGATGAAGCATTGCTCTACTCGAATGAATGGGGAATGGATCTTCGACGTTTCTATATGGTAAAAAATGGGTTCTATAAGCGAAAAACAGTTTATTATCTCATTTATAGTTCGGAGACGAAGCCTTCCCAGATGTCAACAGTTTGCCATACAAAATGCCAAAAGTTGAAGAAGCCACCCAAGCACTCCGGTCTATCGTACAGAGCACAACGGATCACCATCACGGCATCAAAACTAAACATACCGTCGATCTGAGTAGATTAGTTAATAAAATGAGAATGTGTAGTTATGAAGAGCTAAAACAAATTGAACAGAATGCCAAAGACCAAGATGGAGAGAAACAACAAAAGGTAGCAATGGATGTTTTTGTAGATTCCTTGGCTACGAGTGGAACAAGAAATACTGTTAAGCTTTTGGCTGAGATTATTGAAAATGAGGTGAAGACTAGGCTTATTTGTAAGTAGATAACGTTCGATTTTCTAGGAAATTGATGAAAGTAAAGCAGCATTTGCCATTAATCAGTTGAAAAACCTTCCGATTCCTTCCAACTCCATTCTAAAACAAGTCAAACAACTTGCTCAAAATGTGAATGTACAAAACAAGCCTACGGTTAGACAAGCAGCTTGGCTAACCTTTGGTGCGTTGGTCAATGAATTATGCCAACATAAGGGCAGAAAAGCGATGGAATCATCTCAGGATGTGTCAAAATCCGTTCAGGAGCAATGTACTGATGATAAGAAGGAAGAGTACAAAAGGGTAAATTTCTTAGAAAATTCCGTAGGGTAAAAAATGTCATTTCGTCACTCCCCAAAAAAGTGCCATTTTGCCACCTTTTGATCTAATCTACAGTATCCAGAAAGCACTCGTTTCCTTCACTTTCACTTCAGTTTAATCCACAAAAAATTTCATTTTGACATTAACTCATTTTTCATTTCCAGACATTGTTAGAGCAGTACAGCCAAGCCACAACTTTCTACGATAAATTCCTTGCACTTTCTGCTTTAGGAAATGCCGGAATTGATACTACAACACCTTACATTGACCAGATAATTAACGACAAATCTCAAGATTATCTAATTCGAGTAAAAGCAATTGATGCTCTTCGCCGTCTTTTCACGAAACAGCCTCGAACTATCCAACAAATTCTTCTCCCAATATTTTTGAATAATCAAGAGGATTCTTATGTTCGTTCTAGCGCCTTGACTACTCTATTGAGAACACAACCAGAACCTTCAGTAATTGACCAGATTGTTTATTCAATGAGACAGGAACCAAACAAACGTGTAAAGGCGAGTACTTATCAGACATTGAAGATGGTGGCTGAATCGAGAAATCCTGTTGATCAACAAGTGTCAAAACATGTCAAAAACGCTTTGAAATCCGTCAATATTGACAATGAAGAAATGAAAAAGTACAAATTGTGGCAAATTCCAGCTTTCTGCTCTAAGCAACAAGAGGGAGTTTTCTTCACTATTGGTGCTAGAAAAGCTAAGCGTTGGATGCCAAACTTTTCTTATCTGAAAACTGACACGTACCTAAATGAAAAATCAAATCTTGACTTGTTAACAGTATATGTTCTACAAGCTTCTGAGGGTTATGATAGTTATGGAGAGACTCGTAATTACACTGCCAATACAAATAATGACCAACACAGTGAGAACAGGTAAAATTCAGAGGGTCATTATGGAATCCTTTTCATCCATTTCATTTTTAAGCAAGACACTCAAACAAATTAATCAAATGCTTCAAATCAAGACGCGAAATCCATTTAAGTATGGATATGGAGATGAACAACAGCCTTCCTCACAGAATCCGTTGAAATATGGATATCCAACTGGACAACAATCTACCAATTATTTCCTCAGAAGTCAGCAAAATCCATCCTCCGTTCTCTGTGTTAGAATTGGAGATGTTGACCATTCGTTCCATGCTCTAAATCAGAATTGGGATATCATGTCCAAAAAAAGTGGGATACTAAATTGGGCTATAATGTCCTCTCAAACTTCAATCCCAACTACTTCACCAATGTTGGAAGAAATCCTTCAGTCAATTCAAAGAGGAGAAATGCCTAAGTTCAATCGTTTAATCTCCAAATTTGGTCTCCAACAACTCCAATCTGTCCAAAATCACACATATTCTGCAATCTTTAATGAGAGAGAAGCATTAATTCCAACTTCTGTGGGGATTCCTGTCAAAATTGTCAACTCAGTTCCGATGCTCATGAATGTAGAAGCAAGTACTCAACTGCAAAATAGGCAAAGCCAGGAAGCTAAAATTCAAATTGATGCGAGAATCATGGCTGGCGTTTCACACGTTCAGAGAATTGTGAGATCAAATGTCTCATTTACCCATTATTTTATTTATTTTAGGGCTCCTGGACACCTTTCCTCATCACCGGCGTAAGCAACACCCGCTCCGTTGAAGTCAACCTTCCAATCCAGGCTGAACTAAATGCTAATACCGAAGCATCTAGGCAATCCCTCACTGTCAAAGTAAAAATGCCTAAAGAAACAACTCGACTTCTTGGCGCTCATTCGCATCAATACACCTACAGAGCTGAAATTGACCTAAATACAAATTCGCCTATGGGGAGAGAATACCGTACCATAAGGAATCCAAAACTTGACCGTCTTCAGTATCAGAAGAACAAAGTTATTGGCTCTAAAAATGTTGGTGTTCCAGTGCATGTTTATGGTTGGAAAATTAAAATTTAACTAAACTTCTTTCATTCCCAGCTCATTACCATTGGCCTTCAAATGCTGCCAACATTGTCCAAATTCTCAAAATGCTCACTTCAACAGAAAACGCAATGCATGTCACATACCAACCCGGACAAGAAACTGCACGCGAAGTTGTGTTCAATATGAATACAGAAAACTTCCAGCCTGTAAAGGCATTCCAGTCAAAAATGGGCAATTTCTTTGAGAGAAGTGCTACGTCCAATGAAGAAGGAAATGTTCGTAAAACTAAAACACTTACTATAAGATACCCCAAATAGCAAAGCCCAGTTTAGGATACGATCTATTATTGGGCTGGCCACAGGCGGGAGTAGCTACCTAAGTGGTTTTACCTTGTCTTTAGATGCTTTTCATTATAAGAGACGGTTATTTTACCCTCTGTTTAACACGTATCTCAGTATAAGATAGAGCCATTTTACCTTCTATTTAACATACACCTCACTATAAGAGACAATCATTTACCCTCTATTTAACATCCCCCCATTATAATAAACTATATTTTCAGCCACAAGAGGGTATCATGCCAGAAAATCAGCAACAATACTATGCTAACCAACAACAAAAATTGCAAACATTCCTTTCAAACTACCAAAAAACCCAGAAACACCAAAAACATTACAAACACTCTATGGAACTGTCTGCTAAAACAATGGGGGCTTCCAAACAATTTAAAGCTTCAGTTCAACTACAAGCCCAATGTAACGACAAAATGCAAGTCTGTCAACTCAGACTTGGGGCAGAAAGGAGCAAAATGAATGAAGAAAGAAGCATGTGGGCAATGAAAGGCCTAGTTGAAATGGTTATGCCTGGAGGGGCTGAAGAGGAGAATTCTAATAGTTATGCTTCTGATCAGTTTTTGAGCTTTGCAAATTTGCATTGGGGAGCGGATACACGTAAACAACAAGTAAATATGCGAATCGTTGGGGAACAAGCACCTGAAAGAACTTCTGGGTGGTATATGTTCCAAAATCAACAAGAAGGGGAAAATCAAGAGGGAGAGCAGAATGAGGAAAATCAAAATTCTGATCAGAATTCCTCTCCTTTCACCACCAAACTCCAACGTAGAATTGCATTTATCAACCTCTACAACTGTAGAATGGAATATAACAACTTAACTCCAGCAACCAGAAATGTGTTCGAAAGGGCTGTTGAATTGGTCAAGTCTAAATATTTTTGGAATTCGAAGACTGAATTAAAGAGTGAAAGTAGCTTGAATCCCGAGAATGGAAAGGTTCTCTAATTGAAAAGAAAAATCAAAAATTAAAAAATTTTCCAGGTATACTGTACCCTCTCTATCGACTCTTTAACCCAAAACCATGCCAACATTACCCTCATGACACCAGAACAAATTGTCCATTTGCAACAGATTGAAATGCCCTTCAAGCTTCGTCCTTTTTCTCTAAGACGTCGAAATGTACAGAGCATCCAGTCTTTCGACCAGTTCTACTCTCAACAAGAAATTAAAAATCGTGCAGAGTGTTCGGTTGATGGAAGGATTGTTCGGACTTTCGGTAAATAAACTTAAAAATAGGAAATTCTGATCCCGCAAAATTCTGGTTATTCTGATTTCATATTATATTAAAATACAAAATTCTGGTCTTATTCTTATTACGAAAAATTCTGAAATTATTCTGATTTTAAAAGTTCTGATTTTTTCTGATTTTTTATTCTGAAATTATTCAGATTTTACCAAATTCGGATTTTATTTGATCTTGTTTTCAGAATTCTGATTTCATAAATTCTGATTTTATTCTGATTTTATCAAATTCTGATTTTATTCTGATTTTTATTCTGAAATCATTTTGGTTTTACCACATTCTGATTTTATTCTGATTTTACAAGATTCTGATTTCATTCTGATTTTAAAAATTCTGATTTCGCAAATTCTGATTTTTCCACAGACGGAAAGAGATACAAGGCTCCACTCTCCACCAGCTGTTATTCTGTTGTCGCCAAAGATTGCGGTAGAATGATTCATATTCCCGATTTCGTAGTTATGATGATGTCTACTGGAGAAGATTCTAGTCATTTTAGTCAAAAGGCAAATTTAAAAAATTCAAAAAAAAATTAAAATCATTTAAAAATAGAAACTGAAAATTCTTACACCTGGCCAAAGCGTCGAATGTCAACACGAAACAACCGCCAGCCGTAAAATTGTATGTAAAATCAATGGACGCTACTTGAACGAAAATAATGAGAACAACTTAGTGGAGTACAGTAATACTAAAATGAGTGATGTAACTCTTCATTTGGACGAAGTATCCGTTCGCTTCAATGGCTACAAGGCTTGGATTAAGCTTTCGGGGGCTTATAGAAACACTCAATGTGGACTTTGTGGACACTACGACGATGCTACAAATGATGAAAATGAAATGATAATGGCCAATAATGAATTTAGTGAGAAATTAGGAATTTCAGGAAAATTTTTTTGAAAATTCTGAAATTTTTAGAATTTTCGGATTTTTCAAAAATTCTCAAAAATCTTCAAAAAATCCCCAAAAATCTCAAAAAATTTCCATTTCTAGCCTCCAACCTCGCCCAATTCCATCGTTCCTATTCTCTTTCGAATAGCCACGACAGCAACGACCTAATGTGCAATGAACAACAACTTGACAGATTTTATGAAGAAAATAAAAATAAATTTGGATATTCTGATAATGAAGAAATGATTGCGGAAGAAGAAGGCTTGGAAATGAAGGAAGGAAACAAAAATAAAAAATATAATGAATGGGAAGATGAAATGTTTGATGGAACTTTTGGTGATCAAAGTGAAAATGATGAGGCCTATTTCTCTGATAATTATGAAGGAAGTGAGCAATTTATTATGAGAAGTGAAATGAATGGAAATAGAATGGAGAAGATTATAGGTTGGTGAAGTTTCGAGTTTCGTGAATTTCGAGTTTCTTAAATTTCGAGTTTCGTTACGAGCTTAGTTTCGTATTTCGGGAAAAATCTTTATTGAACAACAGAGCAGGTTAAACCTGAAAATTTTCAAGTTTCGCAAATTTCGAGTTTCGTGAAGTTTCGAGTTTCGTGAATTTCGAGTTTCGCGAATTTCGGAAAATAATTCTTTACCAAATAACCAAAGAGTGCCAACTCAAAATTACTAATCATTTGAAATCCACAAAAATTTCTTAAATTTTCTAGCCCCTCAAGAGAAGACCAGATTGATCGAAATGGAAAACGAAATATGCTTCTCGAAACAACAGATAAAGCAATGCCCAAGTGGAAGCTATCCTTATGGTTGGTATAATAATGGAGACAATGAAAATCTTCAGGAAAACCAACAAACAAACCAACAAAACTTTACAACAAAAAATGTTCCCTTCATCTGCCTTCCACGTTCCGATTTCGAAACTCGCCAACTTTTGCGTTTATACAAACAAAATAATAATCAAATAAATAACATTAATGATATGTACAAACAACACAGTTTTATTGAAAAGGTGCATGAACCTAAAGAATGCAGAATGGGTTGAGAGAATTGAAATAATTTTGAAGAAAATTAAAAAATATACTATTAAAATTAATTTGTAGAAAATAAATACTGTAGAAATTTAATTAAAATAAAAATTTAATTATATTAAAAGACTTTTTTCTTTTTTTAAACTAAGTTTTACTTCTCAGAAAAATATTTTACAACCAATTTAGTAAAGAGAATTAACACTACCGTATTTGCTAAAATAATTACCCAGGGTAATTATTTTTTCGATCTCTCGCTGGAGGGGGTAATTATTTGAGAGAGGGACATTATTTCAGCATTTACGGTAATTTTCATAGGAAAGCAAGCGTGCTCTCAGATATAAAAATATAAAAAAAATATAAACTGCCATATCCGCGTAATATCCGAAATTATGCAACTTCCGCAACAATCCAAATACCCGCAATTATCTTCTGGACCTAAGCCCACTTTGTCTGGGACCATTCCTTACCCTATCCCTCGAAATTTCATAAAGTTATAGCCAATTTTTAAAATTTTCAGAAAACGATTTTAACATTCAGAAATTTCGAGTAAGCAATAGTCCCAGACCCAGTGGGCTTAGGTCCAAAGATGAAAAAATCTATTTTGATTAGAAAAAATGTTTATTAGTTAAAGAACGCTTAAAATTTGTTGCTTTTCTGCTGTAAACTACAAAAAAACCTGCTAAGCACCAGCTTACCAGCTCTTCTCTTGTCTCCTAACTTGCTCATAGCGGCTCACAGCGTCCTAACTTTGGCTGGCTAGTTGCTTTTTGAGCTTGCCACTTTTTGCCAAGTTCTTCTTCTTTTGTGCCCGCTCTCGCACAATAATATTTTTTCTTCAATCGGGCCTGACTAGTTGACTGTAAGCCCCGAACATTCCATTTGATCAGCTACTCTTCTCTCTCTATTAATCACATTTATATTATTTTTATATTAAATAAATATTTTATTTGTGTTAAATAAATAAAAAAACAAATTAAATAAAATAAATAAATATTTTATTTGTTATTCCTGTCCCTCCTTAATTGAACAAACGAGGAATTGTGCACTACATTTTCAGCACAACTTGTATTATTTTTCTTTTAGAACTTTCTTTTAATATTATTAACACTATCTGAAACTCCCTTCTCCTCCCTTTCTGCTCATTTTCCAGTAAATCAAACATCAACAACCATAATCCATTAAGGAAAATTGATCATAGATAAAAAATGATTTGACCTATGTTTTTAGTAACGTCAGATTTTTTTAATTTTTAAAATATTGTCAAAGGTTAGCGTCGCATCTCCTAATCGGTAAAGCCCGATTCAGAATAGCCGATTCAGTATGTGTCATCAAAAGATGACGAAAATTGAAAATAAAGAAAATTTAAAATATAAATTTAAAAAAAGGTGAACCATTAAGTCAAATAAAAGTAAAGAATTTTAAAGAAATATCCACTCTTTATTTTAGTTTTAAATTTTGTTATTTTTCTCTTTCTAAAAATTAATAAATTTTTCTTTCTTTGGAAATAAATAAAATAGATTTGGAAATTAAAGTTTGCTTTTAAAGTGATTTGAATTTAAAGTATTTTGATTTAAAGTGCTTAAATTTGATTTGAATTTCCCTACACGAGGTAAGAAGGTAAATTTATATTTAAGGAGTAGAATAATTCTCACAACATTCGAAAGGTCCTGTGATTCTGCATCTTTTACATAACTGGTCCAATCTGATTTGAATTGTTATTAGATTGTTACAGATTTGTTATGATTATGGGTAATCTGAATCGGGTATTCTGAATCAGCCATTCTGAACCGGCTAT